GTGCGAAGAAGCGGAAGCCAGCCTGGACAGACCGTATCCTGTGGAAGGTCAAGGCTCCAGGTGGAGGTCCCAGCCCCTCAGGAAGGGAGAGCCACCGGCTCCAGGTGACCCAGCACAGCTACCGCAGCCACATGGAGTACACTGTCAGTGACCACAAGCCTGTGGCGGCCCAGTTCGTCCTGCACGTGAGTCCTGGCTTCCCCTCATGACATCCCCAAGCCCAGCTCAGCATCCCACTGCCCATGGGTGACCCCAGGCCCTCACCACCATCCACTTATCATGACAGACTGGGAGTAGGATTTTGATTTCCATTTTTAGATGAGAAAACCCTGAGGCTCAGAGACACAGCATCCGCTGCCCAGGGTCACATGGTTAACAAAGGGAGGAGTTAGGATTTGAACCCAGGCTAGGCTGATTTCAAAGAGTATGTGTTTTCCATTCATTTCTAGCTCTCTTTTTCCAAGAAATGTTTAGGGTAATTGTGTTAAAACTCACATATATCGTAAGATGAGCGAACTCAAAATATATACTCAAATCTCATCGAGTGTTCATTCACATTCACTTATTATTTATTTACATCTTACCATATGTGGTGGGGAGAGGGAGTAGAGATATAAAACAATACATAGCTAGGCTCTAAATAGTTACTATAAAATTTAGCATTGTGTTTAGGATTGAGACCTCTATTTGTGAAAGTAAAGAGGGGAAATCCAAGAATGTCAGACCTGGATCTTAGAGATCATGTGATCAACTCTCCGTTTTTCAGGAAAACAGAGGCCCTTAGTGGGGTAGGCATGAGCCCCAGGTTGCACACAGACTCAGTGGCACAGTAGGGTGGAGCCCGCTTTCCAGCCCTGAAACCCAACTCTGGGCTCTCTGCTTCTCTTGGTCTGATAAGATGGAGCCCAGCAGGCCAGAGAATATTTTCCCAGCTAACTTTGTCATTTGATCAGTCGGCTGCCCAGCAGCCAATGTCCTCAGCTAGGAATGGAAATCTGCCTATGTCTGACCTCCTATGACCTTTGGTAAAAGCCTTGAATGTGAGGTTTAAGCCCTATTCAGGCACCTCACCTCAAGAACCACTCCTTTTGGGTGCTCTATCCTGTATTCTTTATCTATAACTCTGTCCCTTATAAGATGTTGCCTGTTGATCACCTCCTCACCTCCTCCTCTGGCCTTGTGCCCAAGCCTGTGTAGGATACGTCAATGTGTCATCTTTTTGAATGTCCTGGTAGGTCCCAAGGATGTCCACATCCTCCTCCTGGTTTCACCAATGAGGGAAACAGAGCCTCAGAGAACTTCAGTCTCTTACCCAAAGCGACATAGAACAGGGCTCAGCAGGAGTTTTGACCCCACAAGGCCCTGGAGGGTGTTTCCGAGACCGGAGCCTGGCCACCCAGCCTGGTTCCTGCTGTCAGGAACCCAGGGACAGGGAGAGGGGGTGCTGGTTTCTTCTGAAGCAGCTTGGTTTAGAAGCTGAGGCGGGGAAGAAAGTGGAAACCAGGTAAACAGGGGAGCCAACAAAAGCCTGAGGCTGGCACCACCAGAGTCCTTCCCAGAGGGACAGAGCTGGAGCCAGCACCCTGGCCACCTGCCACCCCAGCAACCTCATCCCCATGGTGAGCCCCCGATCAGCCCGGGGTGACCCTGGGAAGAGGACACTCGTGGTTATTGTTCGTCTCCACGGACTGGTGACAAACAAGGTTCACAGTGGTCCCTTCGTACAGGCGGGGAAGCTGGGTCTCACTTAGGGCGTTCGGGACTTACCTGAGGTCATGAGCAGGTTAGTAGCGGAGCCTAGAAGGTCTTCAGGCTTCTCCCCAGAGCTCTGCTTGCTGGCTCAGGCGTGTTCAGTTTACCCCAGAATATCCAGGGCATCGTGGGACTTTACCTGTCTCCTTTGTTAGCGTATAAGCGATCATTCATTGAGCACCTACTGTATATTGAGAAGTTTATAGGATGCTTTATACGGTATCTCACTGAATCTGCAGAGCAACCCCAAGAGTTAAATGTGATCCATCAGTTTACAGACAGGAGCCTGGGTATTCAGAGAGGTCAAGAAACTCACCCCGGGTCATACTGCATGCCTGTGGCAGAGCCAGGGCCAAACCCACAGTCTACCAAGGGTCAAAACTGTGTTCTCATTCACTCCCCATGGAGGCTAAGGACAAAAGGAGCCCTGAGCTGGGAGGCAGGAAGCCTGGCATTTATCCTGGACCTGCTCTTCCTCAGTTTCCCAGTCTGTGCAGCAGCCTCAAAGGCCCTTCATCTCAGCTTATTTGTGCCAACTCATGCCCAAGGGCTCTAGGTGCAGAGAATGCTAGAGGGTCTCCCCTGATGTTGCCCACCCACCCACCCCCCTCCGGACAGTTTGCTTTCAGAGACGACGTGCCTCTGGTGCGGCTGGAGGTGGCAGATGAGTGGGTGCGGCCGGAGCAGGCCGTGGTGAGGTACCGCATAGAGACGGTGTTCGCCCGCAGCTCCTGGGACTGGATCGGCTTGTACCGGGTGAGAAGGGCAGGGGCGGTCAGCAGATCGGGAAGGGAACTTCGGGCCTGAAGGGGCAGCCAGGGATCCATACAGGGCTTCTCCAGAGTTTGATGTCACCCAGGGCGGCTGCTAGGGTCACCGTTTCGGGTCACGATCCTGATTGCTCTCGCCCCAGGTGGGTTTCCGTCACTGCAAGGACTACGTGGCTTATGTCTGGGCCAAACACGAGGATGTGGACGGAAGCACCTACCAGGTATTTAAGGGGAGGGGGAGAGTGGAATGAAGCCCTTATTGCCCTTGGGGGCTCAGGATTCAGTTTCAGGGGTCCTGAGGCTGTCTCCCTCGCCCCAACCTGGGCCTAAACCTCCCGACCCACCAGGTGACATTCAGTGAGGACTCACTGCCCAAAGGCCACGGAGACTTCATTCTAGGTTATTATAGCCACACCCACAGCATCCTCATCGGTGTCACTGAGCCCTTCCAGGTGAGTGGTCCTGGCTGCAGAGTCTGGGGCTGGGGGTGGGGAGATGGCGCCAGAAGACTGATCAGATCCTCTAGAGTCTCTGCGTTCTCTGTAAGCTCTACAGTAGCCTGACCTTCCTGGGTCTGCCAGTGGGGAGGGTGGGAGGGGTTCCCAGAGGCCTCCACAGCTGGTTAGGGAGACGGGCACCCCAGTGAGCAGCCTTGCCCCACCAGATCTCGCTGCCTACCTCGGAGCCGACCAGCAGCAGCACAGACAGCTCAGGTTCCAGCTCAGAGGATGAGGATGACAGCACCCTGGAGCTGCTGGCACCCAAGTCCCGCAGCCCCAGCCCTGGCAAGTCCAAGCGGCACCGCAGTCGGAGCCCAGGCCTGGCCCGCTTCCCCAACCTCGCCCTGCGGCCCTCGTCCCGGGAGCGCCGGGGCACCAGCAGAAGCCCCTCACCCCAGAGCCGCCACCTGCCTCAGGCGGCCCCCGACAGGGGCAGCAATGGTGGCAGCCGGGGCAGCAGTGAGGAGGGGCCCCCCGGGCTGCCGGGGGTCTGGGCCTTCCCGCCATCTGTGCCTCGAAGCCTGGGCTTGTTGCCCGCCTTGCGCCTAGAGACCGTAGACCCCGGCGGGGGTAGCTCCTGGGGACCTGATCGGGAGGCCCTGGCCTCCTCCGGCAGCCTGTCTCCTAGCCCCCAGGGTCGGCAGGGGCTGGAGGAGGGGGGCCTGGGGCCCTGAGGGTGAGGTGGGCGGGCGGGCCCAGGTGGCCCCCACTCTGCCCCAGTCTGCTGCAAACCCACCTGCCTCCCACCTGCCACTGCTCCAGCTTGATCCGCACCTGCCACTCTGTTCTGGCCAGGGGTGGCCACCTGGGGTCCCCCGAACTCGGTCCTGGCACCTCAACTGTGACAATCAGCAGAGCCCTGTCCTGGCCCCCATCTGGGATGGGGGAGGGGAGCAAACCCGGAGGTCATTGTTTAGGAATTAAATTCTCCAGCTTCACTCCCGACTCCTTCCTAACTTGCTAGCAGTCTGGGGTGGGGAGCGGGTGGTCGGAGGAAAGGACTACAGAGGCGAGAGGATGACACGTCTGACAATGACTAGGCACCAGCTGTATACATCACACATGCCATCTCCTTTAATCGGCACCTAAGCCTGAGTTGTGGCACTGACTTCAGTGCAGTTCTTAGCCCCATTTCACACGTGAGCAAACTGAGGCCTCCAAGAGGTTCTGTGAACCTTTGAAAATCAGTTGTCTAAGTGCAGTTTGGCTGGTTTTTGGAGGGAGAGAACATTTACTGGGTGCTGAGTGCTGTCTGCGAGTTGGTTCACTTAATCCTCAACAACCCTATGAGGTAGCTCCTGTCTACACCCCCCTTTCTCAGAGGAGGAAACTAAGGCTCAGAGTGAAGGAGGTCTCTTGCTCAAGGGCATAGGGAAGGTCTGAATTTAGGTTTAGGGCAGAAAGAATGGACCAGGGCTGGGCTGGGAAGGGCATAGCAGCTGTTAATAGAAGGGGGTCCCCTGGGGAGGAGGGGAATTAAGAAGCCCCTCTCTAGCTCCCCCATCCTGTATTCAGACACATGCCATTCTGTGACATCCCTCCTTCACCACCCTCTGCCCCCAGACCTCAGCAGGCAGGCTCTGGGGCTTTCCTGGACAACTCTTTGGAGATGTGTGTTAGTTTCACAACATGAGCATACGTGTACCTCCTCCTGGCACTTCCTGGGGCTCCTGCAATGTTACCTTCTCCTCTTTCTCATCTGGTTGTTAACTGCCTGGGAAGGCCCAAGCCTGGGGCAGCAGAATGAGCCTCCTGAATACCACATCCAAGCACAGACATTTGTGTCACCAGCCCAAGATCGCTCAGCACAGCAGGAGGCACGGTCCAGCATTTGGGCCTTGGCCCCCACAACCCTCCATGTGGCCCTCTGTCTGTCCACACTTCAGTCTCACAATGGAGGGGAAGCTGAGACCCACCCCAGAGCCCAGCAAAGCCAGGACAAGGTCCGATCTAGTGCCCAGGAGAACAAGAAGTGAGGTCACTGGTTCCAGGGTTTCTGCTGTCCTTTGGGTCCTCTGGCTCCCTGGGTCAGCTGCAGGCACCGGTCATAGAATGACATGGAGGCATTTGGGTGCTCTGAAGGCCTTGCCTGCCTGTGGTGTGCGCCCGTCCCCTGGAGCTGGCGTCGCCTCTGCTGAAGTCGCCGCAGGTGCCGAGCTGACACTCTGATGGCCCTGGGGTCACTGGAACAGCTGTAGGGAGAGAAGAGGGAGACAGGGGGTAGTAGCTGGCAAGAAACCCACCCTGCTCTGCATACAGGGCAACCAAGGCCCAGAGAGAAACAGGGATGGGGCTGGGGTGGGGAGTGGTTATACTAGCAGGGGGCAGAATAAACCTAATCTGCTACTTAGAGGCCGGGGTTCTGCCCCAGATGGCTGCAGAAACCTGGGCCAGTCTGGGCCTCAGTTTCCCTACATGTGAAATAGGAAAAGTAACAAGGAGTTGGTTTTGAGAATCAGAATCGAAATGAGATTGTGGCTTAGGAGGAAGAATCCAGGAGGTGCTTCACTAGGTGTTCTGCAGGCCTTGCCTATGGACATCACAAACAACATGCCCTGGCGTCCACCTCCATTTCACAGGTGATGAAATGGAAGTGTGGACAGGTGATTCAGCTGGCAAGATCACATAGGAAGTAGATGACAGAGCTGAGATGCAACCTATGTGGGCCCAGACCACCTCCATCACCCTCTCAGCCCAGGTGCACAAAGAGGGCAGAGGCAACCCACCCCCTTGGAGAAGTCCCCCGTCCCTCCTGGCCCTGCCGTCACCTACCCTTTGTCCTCCGCACAGTCCAGCGGAGGGACCAGTTTGAAGCAGGTCATGCCCAGCAGCTCCCGAAGCACGGTGGCGCCCACGGGTGGGTTGTGGAGCCTCAGGAAGCGGGCCAGGCTGAGGGCAGAGGCAAGCTCAGGCCAGGGCAGAGCCTTTCCAGCCTGGAGTCTGTCCCTTCCCGGTGCCTGGCAACAGGCAGCCCACCCCCCAGGGGTGCGAGCAGGCCTCACCGGCGCGTGCAGTTGCAGTGGAAGAGGGGGTCCCGGGCGCTGTTGAACACCTGGAACTTGGTCTCCTGGGGCCCAATCTGATGCTCACACCGGTCCAGGCGGCGGAAGCTGCGGCAGGCCCGGCGGATACCTGGGGGCAGGTGCAGTGGTGAGGGAAGCCCCGTCCCGCATCGAGGTCTCACTGCTGCCCGCTGCCCTCTGGCACAGGCTCAGTCCTCCATGCACAGTGTCCCTTCGTCTCCTGTCTTCTGTTCCCGTAGAGTGGTTCACACGTAGAGGGGACACACACACACCCACACACACATACAGAGCAGCGCTGCCCTGGGGGAGGCCCAGAGAGGTAAGAGTGGTCAGAAAAGGGTCCCTGGAGGCAGAGGCTGCTAAGCTGATGCTGAAAGAGGAAGACTCAGGGAGAATGCCCCAGGGCACAGGAGCGGCATGTGCAAAGGCCCAGCAGTGGGAGAGAGCAAGCAGCTTCAGAGGAAACAAATGCAGTTTGTGAAGCTGGAATTTTGACTGGGGAGTAGGGTTTGCAGGACCAGCACCCAAAGAACCCCTGGGTGTTGGAACACTGTAGTGGGGGCTCAGCGGGGAGTCCCATGGTCAAGATTGCAGCTTACAAAAATCCCTCTGGCTGCAGTGTGATTTGATGGGTGAAGTTGGGAGTCACTGGAAGGAGTTCAGAGCAGGAAATAACACAGGGCCCCCCCAACCCCACACAGAGGCTCCTCTTTACCTCAGGCGCCCCCAAAGTTAGGTTAGGTTCTGCACTCACCCTGAGGTTTTAGGCCACCCCGAGGCCCCTGGAGGCCTGGATTGGTGACCTCCAGCTGGACTCTGGGGAGCATGGCAGGCCCAGCGGAGGCCGCAGGAGCCTGGAGGGCTGTGGCCTTGGCTTGACTGGGGTGCATGGACTCTTTCTGCTGTGCTGGCCACGTCTGAGGATGCTGTATCGGCTGAGGCTGGCTTGGGGCTGTGTTCTGGGGACTGGGAGTTGGGGTGGCAGGGGAGCTCCAAGAGGCATTGTAGAGGGTCCTGGGCTGGAGACGAGCAAGTGGCACAGAGCCGTACCTTCTACACCTGGGAGGCAGCACATGGTGGCATTGGTCACCCAGAATCGTCCCTCCCAGAGGTCCCCAGGTTCATCTCCATGGAGATCGGGGCTCTGCCAGTCCCATCCCCTCATCCCACAGCCCACTGGGTTGTGCAGGGCACCCAGGGCATGTCTGTATCCTGGGGCCCCCACCCCCTCCCCGAGGAGAGGACAGGGAGGACAGGATGAGACATGGTTCCCTGGATGACGGACATACAGACAGGTCTCCCTCCCAGCCTTGGAGCCCCAGCTACCCGCCCCCAGGCTGGGAAGGGGGTCAAGCAGGGAACCAACGTACCCGCCCCACCAGTACCACTCCACACAGGCCTCCTGCTCCTCCAGCACAAAGCAAGGGATCGCCAGTACATTGAAGAAGACCATGCCCACGATGTCGGAGACGGAGTCCCGTTGGCTCTGTAGGCACTGCTGGAACCTGCCCCAGAGCCGGCGCTCAGTCCCTGGATCTGAGAAGGCTACCTGGCTCCTCTCCCAGACCACCTAGCTACCACTACCAGCCAGGTGACATGGAGTCCAAGAATCCCAGCTCCTGTTAAACCTCAGCTTTCCCACTGCACAGGGGAGTCTGGTTGGCTGATCCTTTGGGACTCTCTGGAGCTCAGACTCTGTACCCAGTAACTGGGTAACCCCACCCTGAGCTCCCAGCCCTCCCTGCCCACCGCTAACTAACCTGGCATCACAGCTGCAGTGGGAGATGGTGTGGAATCGGTAGTTCCGGATGCCGTAGTTGTACTGGAAGGGTGAGACCGTCTGGGGGCAGTGGTCGTGTTCCTGGCAGCAGAGATCAGGGCCCTGGAAGACCCCTGCAGGGAGCAAAGGGGGCACTGGCTCAGCAGGGTGCCAGGACCCTGGGCACCACATGCCAACTCTGCCCATGTGGTGTCAGGAGCAGAGACACCTCCGTGTCTCCCTCTGTGGGACTCACGGTTCCAACACTTGAAGAGAACACCCAGGTGCAGCCTCTGCTGAGCAACGCCAAGTGCCAGGCAGCCCACCCAGAAGCCCTTGCCCATGGAAAAATCTCCCTTGGGTGAACAGGTGTCTGCCTCTAGAGTTCTCAGGCTTGCACCCCTAGTGAAACTCCAAAGTTCCAAATGTGTGTGAGATGGGATGGCAAACAGCCGGGTGCAGCCTCGCTGGCACAATGAGGCATTGTCAGGACGCCAACCTGCTCCAATGCAAGTGCCAAGTCCTCCCACAGCCCTCAGCACATAAGCACAGACAGCTGTACTGAGAAGTGCAAAAAAGCCATGCATGCTTTCCACCACCCGAGCAATAAGGCCCTTTACTGAGCATCTTCCAAACGTCTGGCACTTCCCACCCCAGCACACAGCAGCCCTGGGAGGGAGTTGTCACTTTTACTGTACAGGTTCAGAGAGGGGAAGTGACTCATTCAGCTTGGAAGGGCTGAGCTGGGATTTGAACCCAAGCCTTTGGGTCTCCTCGTCCAGTTGGCTGGGCATCCTGTGCCTATAAATCCTCCCCTTGGGTAATGGCTCTTTGGCTCAGCCCAACCTGGACAGCCAGCCCCAGCCAGCCCCCTCCCTGGTGACTAATGGTGACTGATGATGGCTCCCAGATGTGAGTAGGATATTTCCCATCTATAACCTCTTTTGAGCACCCTAAGATGAGGTTTATGATCACCCCATTTTACAGGTTTCCCTGGTAGCTCAGCAGTAAAGAATCCGCTTGCCATGCAATAGACACGGGTTCAATCCCTGGGTGGAGAAAATCCCCTTGAGGAGGAAATGGCAACCCACTCCAATATGCTTGCCAGGAGAATCCCTTGGACAGAGGAACCTGGAGGGACAGAGGAGCCTGGTGGGCTACAGTCTGTGGGGCTGCAAAGAGTCGGACACGACTGAGCATGCATGCACATTTTACGATAAGGACGTTGAGGTTCAGAGTAGCTAAGTCGCTCCCTCAGGACGCGCAGCCTGGGAGAGTGGATGCCGGGGCTAAAGCCTGCACTTCCTCTCCCACCAGCCCCCCAGTCCACACCCCAAGGTCTCACCCAGCTCCGTGGAGTTCCTGGCAGAGTCCCCAACTCCACACCACAGCGTGCCAGGCATAGTCCAGCCCCTCTTCACCCGCTGGTGCCCGATGCCAGGCGCTCCACTCCGCCCTGCTGCTTGCTTCTGCCTGGTCCCCGCTGGACTCTGAGCAGGCCCTTGGCAGACCTCCCACTGGCTCTGAAGGATGGCCAGGGCTCTCTGCAGCTCAGGTCCAGGGGTGTGGATGAAGGAGCCTCGGGTGATCTCACCAGCACAGAGCGCACCGAAAGCTGCAGTGAGCTCTGGCTCATCCTGCCGGCTGCACACCTGCAATCTCCCGTGCCCATCCCAGCGGGCATGGAACAGGGCTAGTCCCTGGACATCCTCGCCCAGGAATCTCAGGGACCCCAAAGAGATGCTGGCGATGGGCCTGGCCAAGTGGCAGGAGGTGCTGTGCAAGTGGAGGGCAGGGGAGCCCCCCGGAGCCACCCCCAGGAAGCTCAGCACTCCCCACAGTGCCACCAGAACCCCCATCCTGCCCTGGCCCAGCCAGACAAAGCCCTCGGGAAGCCTACCCTGGTGGGCCCACGAGGCAGCAACCCTGCGGCCGCCGAGCGGAAGCGGTGCCCAGCCGAGCTGGTGTGGCGGCGCCAATTAATGGAGCTTTGGGAGGAGTAGGAAGGAGCCTGGAGTGTGCGGTGATCCGGGGCTTGTAACCGAATCCACCGGCTAGGCAGGCCGCTGATTGGCTGAGGAGTGCACTTGCCGGGGCCCACGCCCCCACGCAGCCTGCCTTTCTCCTCCGCGCCTTCCAGTCACCTGCCGCCGGCCCAGCCCGCCTGGATGGGAACAGTAGGAGCCAAAGCCCTGGGACCTGGGGGCGGGGGACCAGGAGGGGTGTCTGCGTCTCCCTGGGTGCGGGAGGAGTGTCCAGGGGCTCAGAGGAGGCTCCTGAACTCATCACCCCGCTCAGAGATGGCTGCCACGCCCACCTCCGTGAAGCTGGCGGAAGGTCGTGAGACTCTGCCAAAGCTGGGTAAAGGAGACGAGGGCAGAGTTGGGGCTTTGTGGCCACCCCCTCACCCGGGAGCTCTGAGGCTTCTGGGAAAGGGAGCATCCATCCCCCGGCCCGTTGGGGTGCTCCCCCTGCCCAGTCCTGGTTCTAGGAAAGGCACTCAGCATCCTCAGGGAACAGAGTCCCAGGTCTCCCCGCTTCCTGGACTCCAAGCACAGGCGTGGCCCAGTAGCAGCCCTCACAGCCACCGCAGACTTTGAAAGCAGCTCTGGGCTGGGCTGATCCTTTGGTCCCCAGAGGAGCAGAGGTGGACTCGGGGGCTGGGTCTGCCGGCACCTCCTTGCTTGGACTGCAGTCTCCTGGGGACACTGCAGGCCATCCTGTGTCCTGCAGGAGACCCGGGTGGTCTCTCCATCAGGGAGGGGCAACACCCAGCAGCTGTTCCTGCATCTCAAAGCTGATGTATTATTCAACTTCCAACCAATTGGGAAAGCTGGGTGCTTAAAACCCACGTGCAGATGAAGAAACTGAGATTCAGTGAGGGTGAGGGAACCTCAGCTGACAGTCAGACCCCAGCTGGGGACTAGAGGGGTTAGAGCTGGGGTTAGAGGCTGGGAGTGCAGCTCTTGGGGGGCTTTTCTGGGAGGTCAGAGCCGGCTGGAACAGTGTCTCATCTGTTCTGCCCATCAGCCTACTGCTCCCGTAACATCCCCTCAATCTCCACCTGGGTCTCTTCCAGGAGAACGAGCCCCAGTGGGGGCAGAGGTGGGGAAGGGCAGCTCCCTGGGGCAGAGGAGGGAGAAGGGAGCTACAGCTATGCAAATGCATCTCTGGCTTCAGCAGCAGCCTGGGTCTTGTAGCTCCAAAGGTCATGGCTGGGGACAGTAAAGAGGAGGGGGAGATGGGGAGGGGAGCCCAGCATCCAAACTCCTTCTCTCCAGAGGCTGGGAAAGGGGGTGTAGGGTAGAACAAGTGGTGGCCGGAAGGGTAGGGACACCTGGGGTTCCCAAAGGCAGGGATTGAACACAGGGGGGTCCCTCTGGGAAGAAGTCTGATCTTCCCACGGTTCTGAGAACTTTCCCAGCATAAGACCCTGTCACACACCTTGCCCTCCTTTTTTATATTATGGAACCTTTTTGTGCTGGTCACAACCCAGGGAGTCTGGGAGGCACCAGGGCAGGAACCAGACTCAAGGTGGGACAGACCAGGCTTGGGTCCTGGTGCGGTGTGACTTCAGGCTTGGAAGTCTCAGCTTCTCTGAGCCTCCGTCTTCTCATCTATGTGATGGACATACTCACAGTGGCCACTTCACAGGACCCTGGGCACAGTGCCCTGCATCTGAAACGCTGTCGCCAAAGGCTCAGGGCACCCCTGGGCAGGAAGCAATTTACCCAGAAGAAGGCTCATCCCCAAGGTTTTGGGGCCACAGCATCTGCGGTGGGGAGTTCTGGTGAGGCCCCTGCCTGGTGATGTGACTGCAGGTTTGTCCCTGCCGCTCTCGGGGTCTCCGTTTCCTGCTCTGTTCAGTGCTGGGTGCAGTGGAGCTGACCTCTGAGGTCTCTTCCTGCCTGCCCCAAAGGGAGGCGGGCTGCGGCCTGCCTGGGGCCTTGAGGGAGGGTGTCACTGGATTTTCCCTTCAGATTAACCGGCAGCCAGGTCAGCTGGGCAGGCTCTGGGGCCATGCTTTCCCCCGGGGGCACCCCTCAGCAGGCTCGGAGGGGAGGGTGCTGGGAGCCAAACCAGCAGGACAGGACCGGACCAGCGGGGCCCACAGACAAGAGGAGCCCCACCCGTCCGGGGAGTGGCAGGGTGCAGAGTCCGTGACCGTGCAGTTGCCTGCCGGGGTCCATGGGAGAAGGAGTACCCCCTCCCTCCCTTCCCGTCTGACGCCCCCACCCCCATCATCCTGTCTCCTTGCCCCTCTCCCATCCCTCTCTGTCTCTTTCCTGCCCTGACTCTGATTCTCATAACTTCTTTCTGTCTCCTCCATCCCTCCACCTCCATCTTTCTGCCTCTAACTTCCCATCTTCCTTCCCCTCTTCATTTCTTTCACTCTGCCTCTACATTTTCTTTTTTGTCGTCTCTCCTTCGTTCCCTCTTTCCCCATCTCTCAGAGTTTTCTGTTCTTTCCTTCTTTTGTGCATGTATGTATGTGCGTGTGGCTGTCTCTCCTAATTCTTTTCTCTTCCTGCTTTCCTGTCCCTCTCCCCACTCCACACCCTGAACCCAGGCCCACGACCCAGCCTAACCCAGCTCTTTCCTGTTCCGATTTTCCCATTTTCCCAGCCATGACCTCATCTGATGCTCACAACCCCTGCCCCTCCCTGGGGAGACAGGCAGGGCAGGCTTTCTCATCCCATTGTCCAGAAGGATGGAGGTGACTTGCCAGGAGTCACACAGTGGATTAAGGGAGAAGCCAGGTCAGACGTCCCCCTAGGCTGTGGGGAGGGCTTCCCCTGGCCCTGGGAGACTCTCAGCTCCTAGAGAACCTCCCTGCCTCAGGGCCTTCCTCCCTCTGCCCCCTGGAGCTGGCCTCCTGGCCTCACCCCGAGGGCTCTCTGCAGCTCTCTCTGCCAGGACAGTGATGCAGGCGGTGCCTAGCTCCAGAGCATTCTGCGTTCATTCAAAAACTAAAATAGTTACTGAGAGTCTACTTTGTGTCAGGCACGGGCAAAGACCTGCACGGGGGGGGGGGGGGGGGGGGGGGGGGGTCAAGGATGCTTGACTTAGGGGATGGCGGTGGGAGGCATCCTTGGGGGTCAGGGGTTGTGCAACCTGGAGCAGCTGGGGCCTGGGCTGTGTCTTCTAGGAAGCTGCCTCCATGGGAGGGAGTTCCTTGGTGGTCCAGTGGTTGGGATATGGCACATTCACTTCTAGGACCCTGGGTTCAATCCCTGGTCAGGGAACTAAGATCCTGCAGCGGTTCTTAGTGACCACACTTAGTGATCTTATCAGATCACACACAAGTCTGGCTAGGTCTGTCCCCTGACCATCTCTGACCTTCAGGCTGAAGCCTGTCATGACCTACAGGATCTGGGCCTGGCCGAACTCAGCAGCTCCCCGCTTCTCTGTTCCAGCCACACAGAACTACTTTCATTTCTATAATAACCAGGCCCTCTTAGGGCCTTCGTACGTGCTGTTCCCTTTACCTAAAATACTTCCCTCTGCTTCTCCTGGGCTTGTTCCTGCTCATCTTTCAAGTGTTGGTTTAATCACCTCCTCCAGGAATTCCTCCTCCCTGACTACCCTAACCCAGGATGGGCTCACCGAGGGGGTGGAGGTTGGTGCTGGCATCAGGGGCACCCAGGACACAGTTCAGCACTCAGCAGCAGCACCCTCGTTGAGGACAGGGGACTGGAGGAGGGAGGCGCTGTGGATGTCATAGATTCAGGGTTCAAATGGACCCTGTTTCCCATCCTACTCTGCCACAGTTGGGCAATGTAAAGCCACTTATCTGAGTCCCTGTTGTATAGGTAAACAAATCAGTTCTGTCCACACCAGTGCTGAACAATAAGTCTAGTGCAAGCCGTGAATGTAATTTAAAATTTCCTAGCTACAGTTTAAAAAAATGAGAAACAGGTGAGATTAATTTTAATGATACATTTTACATTTTATGTAAACCACGTGCAAAATATTATTTCAGTGTGTAATGAATACTCAAATTATTAACGAACTATTTTACATTCTCTTTTCATACTAAGTCTTTGAAATCTTTGTGTACTTTATATTCGTGTGCATGCATGAAGTCTCTTCAGTCATGTCCAACTCTTTGTGACCCTGTGGACAGTAGCCCCACCAGTCTCCTCTGTCCATGGGAATCTCCTGCTAAGAATACTGGAGTGGGTTGCCATGCCCTCCTCCAGGGGATCTTCCCAACCAAGGAGTTGAACCTGCATTTCCTGCATTGGCAGCTGGATTCTTTACCCACTGAGCCACCTGGGAAGCCCACTTCATACTCATCAGTTCAGTTCAGATCAGTTGCTCAGTCGTGTCCGACTCTTTGAGACCCCATGGACTGCAGCACGCCAGGCTTCCCTGTCCATCACCAACTCCCGGAGCTTACTCAAACTCGTGTCCATTGAGTCAGTGATGCCATTCAACCATCTCATGCTCTGTCATCCCCTTCTCCTCCCTCCTTCAGTCTTTCCCGGCATCAGGGTCTTTTCCAATGAGTCAGCTCTTTGCATCACGTGACCAAAGTATTGGAGTTTCAGCTTCAGCATCAGTCCTTCCAACGAATATTCAGGACTGATTTTCTTTAGGATCGACTGGTTGGATCTCCTTGCAGTCCAAGGGGCTCTCAAGAGTCTTCTCCAACGCCACAGTTCAAAAGCATGGTGCCTCTGAATTCGGATTTCGCATTTCAAGCACTCAGTAGCAACATGACACTAGAGGCTACTGAAATGTACAGCATGGCTCTGTGTCTTGATCTGTGTGGTGATTATACAAGTGTGCTTAGATGTAAAAACCCATGGAGCCGAACACTTAAGACTTTGGCCTTATTATGTATGCAAATTAT